TATAATGCGTTTCATTGATTCTTTACGGTCGGAAATTTTACAGAAAATGGAAACATCAAATTTTGGAAATCTGTGAGTAAGGAAATCAATAAATGAAAAATATGGAAAAATAAGATTTCAGAAATAATAATAAAATTATGTGTCTTATTGAGGATACTTTGCAATATCGATTAGTTAAAGAATAGCAATGAAAAAATGTAGTAATTAAAATAATTAGAATTATTTTAAAAAAAATAAGCGTAAAATTATAAAATCAAAAAAAAAGATTTCCGTGAAATTAGACGCATCAGAATATAAACATCTAAAATGACTGATATTTAAAAAATAAGAAAAGAATAAATTCAGACAAGTCGAAAAAAAGACAATTATGAATTTAGAAACATAAAAAAATAGACAGTCATTAATATTCGTAAACTTAAAATATGGAAATCTGTTAATATAGACCAATAAATTTTGATATCTGTAATTATGGAAATCTGTAAATACGGATAAATATAAATTCTGATAATTTATAAGAAAGACAATTGTAAACGTAGTCATCATACGAATTGAGCGCGAAGGAATTTAAAATACAAAATATAACAGAGAGGAGATATATTTTCCTGTGACCGCTGCTCCAGGAAGTTGTCAAGTTGTCGGTGACTCTGTGTCCTGGATTTTTTAAAAATATAAAGATTTGTCTCCCGATACTGGTATTAAATACTTTCGGGGGCCGATAACTGCCATCAGTTCTTGTGACTGCTGCTCCAGGAAGCTGTGAAATCTTTTGGGACATATTGTTCTATAATTTTCAAATATTCATACGTTTTTTTTCATTATGTTGAGTTCGGATTAACCGGCACCAGCGCTCCGGGGCGCTATCGCTATCTCATTTTAATTCGCGACGAAAATTAAATAGCGAAAGCGCCCCGGGGCGGTGGTGCGCTTAATCCGAACGCATCAAATCCTCATTCTGTCACCAATAAATTTAGACTTACGATCCATCACCATCGACTTATGGATAACAAATTATTATAACCAATAAAAAATATCACAACTATTTGTTTATAATTAAATAAACAAATTAATGATAAAAATTTAGAAAAAAAAAACATTCACGAATTAGAAAATAATTGGATAAGATTATGAAAAAAGATCTAAACATAAATCTTGGTTTTTTATAAAAATTATAGGGAAATCTGTTGTCGACAACTTCAATAGTTCCTGGAGAAGCGGTCACAAGAGCTGGTGGCAGTTATCAGCCTTTAAAAATATTTAATACCAGTATCGGGAGATAAATCTTTATATTTTTAAAAAATCCAGGACACAACGTCGCCAACAACTGCACAACTGTAGCAGCGGTCACAGGAGCTGGTGGCAGTTATCGGCCTTCGAAAATAGTTTTTACAAAAATTAAAAAAAAAAAATCTTGGTGTTTTTTTTAAATTAAGGACTAAACGTCGCAAATAACTCCACTACTTCCTGGAGCAACGGTCACAGGAGCTGGTGGCAGTTATCGGCCCTTAAAAATATTTAATACCAGCTAGTATCGGGAAACAACTTTATATTTTTAAAAAATCCAAGACACAACGTCGCAAATAACTGCACAACTTCCTGGAGCAGCGGTCACAGGAGCTGGTAATTGTAGGGATATCTGTCGCCGACAACTTGACAACTTCCCGGAGCAGCGGTCACAGGAAAATATATCTCCTCTCTGTTATATTTTGTATTTTAAACTTCTTCGCGCTCAATTCGTATGATGACTACGTTTACAATTGTCTTTCTTATAAATTATCAGAATTTATATTTATCCGTATTTACAGATTTCCATAATTACAGATATCAACATTTATTGGTCTATATTAACAGATTTCCATATTTTAAGTTTACGAATATTAATGACTGTCTATTTTTTTATGTTTCTAAATTCATAATTGTCTTTTTTTCGACTTGTCTGAATTTATTCTTTTCTTATTTTTTAAATATCAGTCATTTTAGATGTTTATATTCTGATGCGTCTAATTTCACGGAAATCTTTTTTTTTGATTTTATAATTTTACGCTTATTTTTTTTAAAATAATTCTAATTATTTTGATTACTACATTTTTTCATTGCTATTTTTTAACTAATCGATATTGCAAAGTATCCTCAATAAGACACATCATTTTTTTCATTATTTCTGAAATCTTATTTTTCCATATTTTTCATTTATTGATTTCCTTACTCACAGATTTCCAAAATTTGATGTTTCCATTTTCTGTAAAATTTCCGACCGTAAAGAATCAATGAAACGCATTGTACTTTTCAAAAAACAAATAAAATATAAATTTTATCCAAAAACATGAGAGCCAAAATTTTTTTCAACTTTTAAAGGCAAAAAAGCTAACGAAATCTTTATTTACAACCATAAAGCTAAACAAAATGACTGCAAGAGTAAAATTTCATTGAAATGAATCCAGAATAGATATTTATTGGTCTAGATATAAATGTAAACATGTAAATAGAGAAGCTTATTTTTTCGAATTTTCAAAATTTTAAAATGCTACAACTTTTAAACTAATCGGCCGATTTAGCTTAAATTTAAACTCGACCTTCGTTTTAGGTACCAAAATAAGCATGCTGAGTTTTATTAAGATCCTTAATGAATTGTAGTCGCTATCGTGCTGACAAGCCGGAAAGTGGCAAAATTTTTGGAAAGTTGCGTCATGAAGACAAATACAATAGTTAGATTTTGATGAAATCTATTAAAAATTTTTAAATATTAATTTTGCACCTAATTATCGACCAAAATGGGGTTGTAACCACTTGTAAATAATTGCCATTATTTATTTTCAGCGGAAAATAATTATTTCAGATCTACTGAAACACATGTCCCTTCAGATCCTTGTTTAATTTTACACTTAGCGTTTGCGCAGCAACTTAGGGGATTTTCAATATTCCATCGGCACTGAAAAAAAATTATCAAGTGAGTTTGATCATAAGATTTTATTTTCAATTTTTTTTTATAATCAATAACGTACCAGTGCTCCCAATTTTTGACAGCTTTCAACGATCACTGCCATCATCACCAAAACAAATAGTCCCACGATGAATAAGCGGAAAGCAAGCTTACTCATCTTCAATATCAACAAATGCTTTTATAGACTTTAAATCCTGATGTTAAAAAAAAAAAAAGGAAAATAAAAATTAATCTATTATACAATAATTTAATAATCATAAAAATAAATGACTTAATTATTAGTTCCGAATGAACTCGGATGAATTCATCGTATACGCGAACTAGTTTGCATAAATGAATAATTCAGTTGTATAAAATAGAAATATAAAATACAGCTGACCGTCAACTGATAATTTCGATCAAGGACCTTTTTATTGCTAGTTAATACATGTTTATCTACATTGCATACGTCGTCATACCTTCATCTACCTACATTATATTTCCGATTTGGAATTGGTAATTTATACACCACGGACGTACTGTACTACATCATGCATCAATTATTCAATAATAGATTAGTTGTAAACGTTTAAAATAACAATTTAACTCATATTTATAATAGTCGCGTTAAATTTTTAAGTATATAAGAAAATAAGTCGTATTGAACAATTGATTTTACGTTCCTAATTCGAAAAAAATTTTACGTGGACAGATTATACTGAGTGAAAAAAAATTTCAGATAGTAGCTAGTATAATCCAGATAACACTGAGTATAATCCAGATTACAACGAATATAATCCAGATTACAATGAGTATAATCCAGATTACAATGAGTATAATCCAGATATTATTCAGTATAATCTGGATTATAATAGCTACCATCTGAAATTTTTTTCGCCTCAGATGTCACTGAGTATAATCTGAGGTGGTATCCAGTGTCATCTTGTTCTTTCCGTGTACTTTCGAATTTTTAAAACTTCAATTAAACCTCTAGGCTAGTATACATATTAATAAAATTCTATCCTTAATTTTTCTCTACTAAAAATCCTTTAAAAACAAAAAACCATTCAAAATCACAATCACCTATAAACACCAACAAGAACAATAATACCACCTAACCTAAGCAAGTGTGAAAAGTAGTTATGCCAAATAAGCATAATGCACTCTAGCAACTGCATTATTACTCTATATACCTCCTATACATACATCACACATATGTAATCCAAGACATTCTCATGAACCACCTAAAGATAGACTGCCGCTCGGTGATGTAGGAGGAAATTTAACCTTGTCCTTACGGGTTTATATAATCTCGCGTGCTCACAAAAAGATCTCAGTCAGTGGGTCGATATATTGAGTTAGTCGAAAAACACATCTTCAATTAATTAATCCAATATCAACTAGGTGCGCCGTGTTATTTTCAAGCCCATCCTTCTGTCAGTCACAATATGCTCTCTCAGCCAAACAATGCGGAGCTATCGGTTTAAGAATCATTCAAAAAGAGTCAAGTGTGTGTTCTAACCCAACAATTTCAAAAATCCTGGATGATTTGTGTCAAAGATCCAATACAAAAGGTAATCAGCCTTGATTCAGCCTAATTTGGTGGAAGTGGTGTTGCATAACAACAACAACAACAATTCTAACAGAACCTTCACTTGATATCAACAAGCCTCTTTAATGTGCAAACTATCAATTAGAAACGATTTAATATAATTAACATCTGGTTGATCATTAAGTTGCTGCAAGTCTTAAACTAAGATCATTCTAACGTTATTAGTGGAGTGAGTAGTGCAGTGTGTGTCTACAAAAATAAATGCTAAAATGATCTCAGTGATACACTTGACCTTGATTGTTTTGTTGGCATACCTAAATCCGTCTGATGGAAAGTGCACCTTAGCACCATTAGATTCTGAGCGGCATATACGCCAGCCAATAGCTTACGTTTGCATCCACGGAGATCTTCAGGATTTGCAAGATGTGCCCAGTAACACGGAATGGATTGAATTCACAGTGTCACATTTGCATCAAATTCCAGCTGATGCGTTCTCCAGATTCAACGATTTGAAGCGATTGACATTCTACAATTGCCAATTGAGGGATATCAGCCAGGATGCGTTCCGCGGGCTGGACAATTTGGAATGGTTGATAATGTCCAATACCAAAATGCAGGTAGCCAGAGCGGCGATGTTCAAGCATGTGAAGAATTTGAAGCTACTGACATTGGATTCGGTGGAATTGAGCTACGTTGAGCCGGAGGTCTTCCAAATTTTGGGGAAGAAATTGGAGTCGCTCAATCTGAGGAACAACGACTTAAATTGTCTGCCAATTGATGATTTGGCGAAAATGGGCAGGCTTAAGACCATAAGGATTGATGAGAATCCGTGGCTGTGTGACTGCAGAAGTGCTTTGGAGAATTTGATGGCCAAACACAGAATCAGGCACGAAGGTGCTGTTGATTTGAGGGACTATGCTCGGCAAAAACGGTGGCAGTGGCAGTATAATGAGAGCTACTATCATCAAAGTAGTACCCGGGTTTATGATTGCATGGCGGTTTTGCAGTACCCACAATTGCCCTCGGTCAAGACAGTTGATTCTTATCAGAGCAGAATTGAGTGGAGGGAATCGACCACCAATAGCATTACTTATCTAGACTATTTGCCGGATAATAGTGGGTGGATTGAAGTGTTCAATGTTCATATTCCTAAATTGAAACGCTATACCTTCTTTAGATTTGGAAATAGTCTGAGGAGTATTTTGTTGAAGGATTGTGGGATCAGGGAAATTGAACCTGAAGCGTTTGCTGGGTTACATAAGCTGGAAAGATTGGCTATTTCTGGAGCGCAGTTAACTGTTGTTGCTAATTATTGGTTTCAAGATCTCACCAGGCTTACAGACCTGGTTTTAGAAAGGGATTCTATAGAAACTTTTGAATTTGGCGCGCTTAATCATCTTCGGAATTTAAGACAATTGGATCTTACGGGGAATAGAATTAATTGCCTAGCGGTTGAAAATTTGGAACAGTTGAGGTTGCTTCAACGAATTGAGGCGATGGAAAATCCATGGTACTGCTCTTGTAGAAGGAATCTGGAAAATTGGCTGTTAAAGAATCAAATTGGGTATGGAATGAGCAGTAGCAGAACTTCAGGGACCAGTTGCTTGGATGAAAATGATACTTCAGTGGCTCGTCCGGTTACGGATTATGTGAGTAATTTTTTATAATCTATATTATTAAGAGAAAAACTTTTTGTCTTGACTTAAATTTGTGTCTTTTAAAGGTTTCATATCATTCTCACCAATAGGCAATTTATTATGATAAGTATTTAGGCTATATTCAAAAATTTGCTATCTTTAGATACATATAATTAAGAAATAACCATGTATCTTGAGAACTATTAACATTTTTAAAGATATAAGCTCACCCCGAGATTACTCTCATCGAGACCTTTCATTTGAGTACTCACATTAATTTTTCATATATTTATATATTTATATATATATATTACATATATGTATATATGAAAAATATATCAAAAATGCATGTGGGTACTCAAATCAAAGCTCTTAATGAGTATAATACCGGGATGAGCTTATATCTTTAAAATATATATTATATATATGTATATATGAAAAATATATCAAAAATGCATGTGGGTGCTCAAATAAAAGCTCTTGAGGAGTGTAACATCGGGATGAGCTTATATCTTTAAAATCTTTTATATTTAAGAAAAAACAGTGCAATAATTTCCAAAAGAAAGATTTTCTTTATCAACAGTAAACGAAAATTCTATTTTAACTTATAAATAAGGAAGTACGAATGCAGTGTAAAGTGAGATAGGTAGAAGTTGTTGCACGGTAAAAAGAAAAGCGCGATAGTTACGTAATGTTTACTATTAATGCATAAATATATATACATTACGCATGAACTAATAACTTCATCTTTGTAATTAATAAAGCAAATAAAATAATATTAGTTCTCTTTTATTTATTTAGCGAAGCATGTTGTTTTTTTCTATACTAAAAACATCTTTAATAAATCTAATTACTTTTAACTCCGCAATGTTTTTCTATATGTATACATAGATATAATCTTTCAATGTACTTTATTGACAGAAAGAAAGAAAATGTGTTATGTAGGGACTAGTCTATCATACAAATTGAATTAAAGTGGTTCAATCAATAGATCAGTTAGCTAGTAACCTAATTACGCTTATTGAATGAAATGAAAGAAACATTTTTTTTTATGACAGTAAAAACAAACAAAATTTTTTTTTATATCAATAAAGTATAAAAATTTTGGAATTTCCACAATTTTTCTATTAATGCCACTGCGATGAATTTATTTTAATGTCATAACTGCTTATTAAAACCTGAAGGTCAGTAAGTGGGTTATGGTGAAGGCCAGAAACTACGAGCGTAGTAATTATCAAAGATTTATTTATGAACCTCGAAATTTAAACCCTTGAAAATCTATTTACAAGAATTAGTTAAAAATAATATTCTTTTTGTCTTAATTATTAATGAAAAATAAATTATTGAAATATATTTATGTTGACGAATCACTGGTCTAAAACTAGGTCATTTACCTTATATCACTAGTTATTATTAAGGCTACGGCTTTTTGATGACTAATAATGACTCAGATATTTGACAAAATTATATTTTATATTATGTGAAGTTTATCTATTAATGGTGATTAATTTAATGTTTATTCCCATTTTTAGATTAGTATTGCATCGATTAGTCACTTGCTTAGAAAAATATCCTTTTTTAGAGTGAATTTTTAGTAATTTTAAAGAAAATATTAAATTGTCAATTTCTTAAAATTTAGGTTACATTTAAAAGATTAAACACCAACAATTATTCTTTACTCTCAAAATAGTAATGTCAAACGTGAATTTTAATAAATTATTATGTATTTTCTTGAATCATGTATATTTTTAAAGTATTATTTAATATAACGCAACATTGTTTTTTGAATGACCCTTGAAAATATCGGCTGGACCATTTAAAAACATAATGATTGCAAAATTTTCCAAAGATCGTTTAAAAGTCATCTATATTATTTTTTTATAGACATTCTTTACACTAGAAGGGCACTTGGATCTCCTTACCTAAAAAAAAAAAAACAGAAAAAAAAATTCGCGTAGCCCCAACCGGGAATCGAACCCGGACCTTTTGGTTATGCACCAAGCGCTCTTCCAGTCAAGCTATCTAAGCCGCCGTCTGTAGGAACCTTTGAACCAACTAACAATTTATTCTTCAATACGATATCAGAAGAATCTTAACTAACACGCTACCTTACTTGATACAACAAATAGTGCTTTTCTAATTCATAAATTTCCATTAATTCTATATTTCATAGAAATTTAAAGAAATTTTAAAAAAATATTGTTGCAGACCTATTACAATGCATCATCCACTGGACGCATCCGTTGGAGTTGGGGCTACGAAGTTCAAGCTCGAAAACCAGTAGAACGACCAACAACACTAGCGCCACCTGTTATCATAGACCGACCGTCAACGCCAGTGGTTAACCTAGGAGGTTGTCGTCCTGTTGCATCGCAACAATACTACCATAACCCTCGATACAATCACCTAAAAGGTTTGACCTACGCTTGCGCACAAGGGTCACTGGCAGATCTCAAAAATGTGCCGCCCAATGTCGAAACAATAATAATTACCAACAATGCATTGCACACTCTAGAAAATGATTTTTTGAGGAAATTCAATGGCTACTTACGTAGACTCGAAATACGGAATTGTGCGATTAATACAATCGAACATGGCGCGTTTGCGAGCTTGTATAACCTAGAAAGTCTTATCATACGTGACAACAATATTGGGACTGTGACCTTGGATTGGTTTGGACGCGATATGAGGAATTTGCGTCATTTGGATCTATCTAGGAATAATATTGGAAGAATCGAGAATAATCTCTTTGATTGCGTTCCTAATTTGATAAGTCTTGATATTTCAGAGAATAAATTGAACTGCATTGGGGTTGAGCAACTTGAAAAGTTAAGGTACTTACGAGAACTAAGGATCACTGGTAATCCATGGACTTGCTTATGTGCAACGAGACTTGAACGGTTCATTCAGAACAAAGAGATTTCTTGTCCTAATGGGTGTTTGGATTCGGTGTTGTATGATAATGGAATGTCTACTTGGGGCGGGTGTCATGTAGATCGTCCAAGGTGAGTTACAATTCCATTTATGATCATAATTAGTGATCAATTGGTAGTAAATACTATTTCAAATAGTACACTGATAGAAAGACTATCTGTATGCGTAGAAATGACGAAAAAAAATTTTTTTCAAATTTTTTTTTTGTACGCCCTTATGGTCCCCAGTTGGTACCCCGCCTGCTTGGAAAAGGTTTATATGTTTCAAAATATATGATTAAATATATTGATATTATAATGTGATATATGGAACGATATATAAAATTATATCTATAATTTTGCCGAAATAATATAAAAATATATAATATTATTCTCATGTATAAACCATATATTCATCAATATAATTGCTTCATGTATGCACGATCCATATGTGTATCGGTACAACTTTTTATATATTGATACCTTATGCTTAAAATAATGTATCGAAAAATATATGGTGTCACATATATTTCTTCATATTGTACATGATATATTATAAAATATATGATTAAATATATTGATATTATAATGTGATATATGGAACGATATATAAAATTATATCTATAATTTTGCCGAAATAATATAAAAATATATAATATTATTCTCATGTATAAACCATATATTCATCAATATAATTGCTTCATGTATGCACGATCCATATGTGTATCGGTACAACTTTTTATATATTGATACCTTATGCTTAAAATAATGTATCGAAAAATATATGGTGTCACATATATTTCTTCATATTGTACATGATATATTATATATAGTTTTTATATATTCGATTATTTGCAATATATTGTATAATATATTTTTAACGATATATAGTATTTTTATGCGGGCGGGTGCCATAAGGGCGTACCAAAAAATTTCAAATTTGAAAAAAATTTTTTTTCGTCATTTCTATGCGTTTCGAGTAAAAATACGTTGTTTCCCGACAAAAAAATTTTTTGGTAGGTACTCTGGGTGCCATAAGGGCGTACCAAAATTTTTTTTTTGCATTTCGGCCCTAAGGGGAATTTTTTTAAAAATTAACCAGAATTTGACCAAATTCTGTTGCAGAATTCCAACAGTTCCATCAATTTTCCGACCAACTTCCACGCCAACAATCACCACTACAGAAGTTCCAATAACGGAAGCTTATAACGTAACTGGAACATGTTCTGCAACAAACGAGCGCACCCACTACTTCTGCAACAACGGAGATAAGTTTATCATAAACAACATCCCCACCTACGTGCGTTCAATTGAAATTTACGACAGCCATATTCCGTATATTCCTGCCGGGTGGTTTTCGCGCTTTAGAAACCTAACTGAACTTACCATCCGCGGATGTTCTGTCGAAGACATCGACCCTCGCGCATTCCACGGCCTTTACAAGCTCGAAAAACTGGTGATCACTGACAACCGACTATCAGTGATCCGCAACAGTTGGTTCCGCGATTGCAAGTCGCTCTATTGGCTAGATTTGAGCAAGAACAACCTTATGGAGATAGAGGCGGGTGCTTTTGACAACTTGCAACATCTTCAGTACCTCAATATCGAAGAAAACGCATTCTTGTGCATTTACACTGGATATTTTACGGAACAGGATCAAAATTGGCGAAGATTGCCCAGACTAAAAGTCCTCGAGTTCGGCAACAATCCGCTTAAATGGAGGTGCTATCAAGAATTACGTCAGTTTCTTGAAGTTAGGACTATTGGGTACACATACTTCAAGTGTCCGCATGACAGCAAAGCTTTGGTCAGAGAGTTGTTGAATGAAAACAAAATGGACGGGACTGTTCAAAGCGCGGGGTTCAATTTGCGATTTGATCACTTTACTTTTCTTCTGGTCATTTTGTTGTTTAATATTTTTTAATTAAATTAGTCATGGTTACTGTTTAATGATTATTGAAATTGAGTACTGTTGTATTCGACTAAAATGTGTTCGGATAGTGTACCTGATAAAAAATTTAACGCTTACGTAGTTACACGGTAATTTTAATTAAAAAGTATTGATAATTGATAATAAAATTTCCCCTATCAAAAAAATCTATTAATATTCCTATATTAATCAGGTGAAAAAAAATTTATTTAAAAAATTAAAAATAATTATTAAGTAATTGCTATTAATTAATTATTAATTGAAATTAATTCTGAAAAACGGATTTTGTAATTTTATCTAATGAAAAAACTGCTCGCGTCTGATGGGACTTGAACCCGGTACCTCATGGTTGACAGTTTTCTACGCTACTCACTGGCCTAAGTCACGTTCTTACAAAGTCTATATTTAATAAAAATCAAGTTAGCTGACATTTGAAAATTTTTAGAAATTTTTTTATCCAAAAAATTTCAATTAAACAATTAAAAAAAAAATATATCACTTGTTAAAAACTTGAAAAACTATAAGTGCAATTTCCTAAAAATATCGTTGTAGTTGTAATTTAATTAAAAAAAAAAATCAAAAATTTTTAGACGTCTGTTAACTTCAGTGTCATTATATTTATTCCACTTCCATAAATTCACAATAGGAATCCATACTTCCTATGTGGATTTCCCATATAAACTCATGTGAATTTTTTTGATAGGGATACTCATGCCAAATCAAATAAAATTTTATTTATTTTCTTCAAACTTCTAATTACACCAGCTTCTGGTCCCATATTGATAGTTCAGAAATTGCAAATAGAAATAATAACTTAAACGTTAGTAGTCATGGAATGCAAAATCAACCTCCACGAGCTGGGAGTCGGAGAAGGGGAACTAGACCGCTCTAGACTCGAGAGTGGGGAGCGCTCGACTGTCATTCAAGCGTCGACTGAAGTCCAGGCAACATCTATTATTTAATTAACTTTCCGCTTTAATTTTGGCAGCTATTTTTATTATTATACCCTTGTTAGTTCCCAAAATCAACATATATTGCCTACCATTGTCCATTATTAAATGGAGATTAATTCTGTACTTTTCAAAAACTTATTTAGTGCAAAAGAAACAGCAAAAAAACATTAAAATAATTTTAAAAATTTTGCCGTCCAAGTATGATACTTGTAAACATTGTAGCTTGTCAAAAAATGGATTAATTGAGTGAAATTTTATTTTTTCTAATTATTTGAAGGAATTGCAGGCCCCCTATTGCGAGTGGCTATGTAACTCAGTGTCCTTTAATTGCAATTAATAAAATTAAAAATCCTATTAGTAGGGCCTAAGGATTAATCTTTTTTTTTTTTTCAGTGTTAATATCTTGATTTATTCATCCGTCTCATTAAATTCTGAGTAATAACTACAATTTATTTTGAGATTAACTTTAGCACATCCTTTTATCATTAATCTACTGACTAGAAAATTGTTATTAATAAGTAATTTATTTTTTTTATTACTAATGTCTAATGTTGAATTCAGTGTAATATTATTAATTTATTAAATGTTAAATATTTTAATAATTGTTAATAAAAGTTTTTATTTATTAAAAAATTTAAGGTAGTGTTATTGATAATATCTTTAACTTTGTATCCAAAACTTACAATTGTTGAATAATTACTTGAGTAATAATAACAAGTAAAAAAAAACACTGAGCAGAATCAGCAGGAAACACCAATTGGAATTTTTATTGATGTACAGAGATAAGTATTGCGTTTCAATGTCAGTGCAAGACTGAATTTAGCAGTAAGTGCGTCATTAATCTAAAAGTCTAAAAGATAAAAGACAAAGAAGACGATATATGTTATCTATTATTTCTTAAAAAAATTTTTTTATTCTCAGATTATAAAAGTAAAAATTTAATTTTTTTCTTCCATTTTTTTTATTTATTAATTTTCCAAATTAATCTTTTATAGAAGATTTAATTTTTAAATAAATTAATAAATTTAAAAATTAAACGCACTGGAATAAAACCCAACAATTTCAATTATCTTAGCGGTTAAGTTAATAAAAAATTTATAATATTTTTTTACAATTTATTTTCTTTTTATTACAAACATAAACACACTATTTACATAAAACTCCATACTCTTAAACTTAAACATTTTAAATCTTAAACTTTACATTATTTACAAGCATCAATTTAAGTTAATATATTTATAAGTATATAAAATTATTTAATAGCTAATAATACAAGCTGGCGCGGTTATTTTTTGTTCAATTACAAAGAGTTTGATAAATTACCCAACAGAAAAAAATATTTTAAAATTAATCAAAAATTTTTTCAACACGAAATTTTATTGTTGAAAATTAAATAATATTTTTTTTTTGTTTCAGAATCAATAAAAAATTTATAACCTTGTTAATTAGCCTCAGCACAATCACATTTAACATTAACGTAATATAGCCTAATAATTAATTTAATTACAATGATAATTGTTTGGTGATCAATGAATATTTACAGTGAAATTAACAATAATGATAATTAATAATAATTAAAAATAGAATAAAAAAAAATCTACAAACTAAGATTATTATCAATAGAATAACTTATTTTTAATAAATAAATAAGTGAAAAATTAATCCACTGTTTTGTCATGGTCGCCTTTTTTTAAATCATTTTTCTGGCACGGTTTTTCTTGTTTTGGACCAATCGTACTGAGAGAAAAATCTGGTTTTCTGAATTGAGAAAATTTAATTAAATAGCTTCACTACTATTATATTTAATTGCAATTTTTATACCCAAAATAATTTATTGGGTATTTAAAATTTATTTTTTGAGCAGAAAGATTCTTAAACTAAGAATTATAAATTTTAAATCTTAAAAAGATATAAATTTTTGTAAAATGTGCTAGCTTTTTAATAATAAAAAAAAACTGTCAGAAACTTTAAAAAAACTGACAATGTATTTGTCTTTTAATGTATTTGTTGTGAGTTTAAAAAAAAATTTTTGACCGTCTACACGGAAAGAACAAGATGACACTGGATACCATCTCAGATTATACTCAGTGACATCTGAGGTGAAAAAAAATTTCAGATGGTAGCTAGTATAATTCAGATTATACTGAATAATATCTAGATTATACTCATTGTAATCTGGATTATACTCATTGTTATCTGGATTATACTAGCTACTATCTGAAATTTTTTTTCACTCAGTATAATCTGCGATTATATCCAGTATAATCTTGTTCTTTCCGTGTAATTGTTTATATACAACGGATTTAAGTTCACCTATAAATTTTTCTCTCAGTGCGCCTATATAATTTTCCGCGAAAATTAAAATTAAAATAAGCTTCAGTAATATCGGTAATTGTTACTCCTCACTGATTTTGGTTTGCGATTAACACTGCTGTATACAAAGGGATTTCTGTAGTAGTAGTTGCGCTGAGTAGTCAAAAATCTGAGTTTTGAAGCCGGCGACGCCGTTGGCAAGGAATTTATGTTTGTAACGTAAAATTTTTTATTTTTTACGTTGTAAACTGGAATTCTTTCCTCTGACTGGATTTCGGAAATCAGAGGAACTCTGAAGTTCTGCAAATCGTCGAGATCTTCGTCTTGCGGCAGAGGTCGCTTATCATCGCCTGGTACTGGACGGCCGTCTGGCAATACTCGTATCACCATTGGTCCTGATAAATAAGGACCATTGTCTATTGGTCTTATGTAATCGTTCATTAGGGAGGATTCTGCGCCTAGATCGTTGGCGTCGCTGTCACTTGTTGCTGCAAAAAAAAATAATTAATTATTATTAATCTAATTGAATGTAAGGAAAAAATTCTTTCTTTTAAATTAAATCAAAAATAAGAAAATAAATTTATTATCGAATTTATTGCTGAAGAAAAAAAATTTTTTTTGCAAGCTAGTAACAGTAATTTAAAGAGTAATTGCAATTTTATTTATTTTAGTTAAAAAAATTTTTTTAACAGTAAATAGTGTCCGCTTTAATCGATAGGTGGCGAGAGGTAGTTCTAAGTTCTCATATTTAGATCGGTAGATTTAGTAATTAAGTACTAGAAGCCTTGCAGTCACTACGTGACTTTCGTGATTTGTAAATTATATAAATAAATAAAATTTTGCTCTATTAAATATAATGACTTTTGCTAAATTGCACTGTACTTTCTTAACTATTGATATTTATGAAGATATAAGCTCATCCTGATGTTATACTCATCAAGAGCTTTCATTTGAGTACCCCCATCAATTTTTCATATATTTTATATATTTATATATATTATATATATGTATATATGAAAAATATATCAAAAATGCAAGTGGGTATTCAAATGAAAGCTCTTGATGAGTGTAACATCGGGATAAGCTTATATCGTTTATTTTACTTGAATTTTAATTGGTTAAATGTTAATAATTTTAAAAAACTAAATTCAAATTTTAAATATTTATTAATTAGTAAATTATCTTTTTTTATATAAAAAATAATTTTTCACCATTTAAAAGACAATAATAATAATAATAATATTAATTTTTTATATAAAAAATTGTAATTTTATAGCCAAAAAATTTTTATTTTTAAAACCGTCCCACTTTTAAAGAAACAATTTTAAAGATCGACCTTCCAAAGCCTCCATTTAATTTAACGATCCCGTAAAATTAATTACCATTAAAGAAATTAGCAAAAAAAAAAATATAATTTTTCCTTTCCGCAAAATAATTCTGGTCAAGGTAAGCAACATATTTAATATTGTAATATTTTTCCATACTTCCTAATTACTTAAAACCTTGGCAAAAATAATCGAAAATAATTTTAATATTTAATTTTTTAATTCCATAAAATTTCTTCCTTTCTTTCTTCAAAGTGAGTAACCATATATGTATAGCATATTCACCGGAGAAAATGTGAAAGCCGCGATCTTGAAGAAAGAGTCAATGATTCTTCAAGAAAAGTGACCTCATTTGTTTTCAATGTCTTACATTATTATTATCAGGCTCTTAGTAAGTGATTTAAATTAATTACAAAAGAAATTAATAACAAAAAAAAATAAATATTTACCTATTGGATCAGTTTCTTGATTTGAATCCACCAAATCTTGTCTATCGTTAGAATTGAATTGATTTTCTTGAACTAACGCTCTCCAAACTGCAATCAAAATTTCAATCTTTAGTATAATTAATTACAATTTTTCCACTATTTATTCTTAATTGTAGTACGATTATCTTCTAAGTAAAGATAAACAAGATCTTGATATCTTAATTCCACTTTCTTTCATTTAAAATTTAATTAGATATTTAATTTTAATAGAAATTTGGTAAATACTTTCCATTTTTTTTATTTAAAAAAAAAAAAAAATACTTTAACTTATAATAAAAAAAATGTCTTGTTTTTACAAATATTTTTTATGTTAAAAATAATAACTGATCAATTTTTAACGAAAATTTAAAAACATCAAATTTTTAATTAATATACTTTAAATTTAATTAAAGTACTTATGCTTAAAATTATTTATTATATTGAACCCCAGTATAAAAAAAAGGTGTCCGAAAATTACTGTAAGAGCTTTTATAGGGGTATAGAGAAAGAAAATTTGAATCAAAAGTTTTTGAACGATTTTCAAAAATTTGCATTATAATTTAAACTAACAGCTAATTAAAGTCAGCCAATTGAGTAACTATAAAAAAAAAAAAACAAATTTTCTTAGCGCAAATGAAGATTAATAAAGCAAACATTAATTTTTTACACAGCAAAGAAAATTAATTTGATTCAAAGGAAAAATTGTTGAATCAAGTAAAATTTACTCAAACTAAGAAAAATTTTTTAATTTAAAAATTTTTCTATTCAAATTAAGAACACGGAAAGAACAAGATGACACTGGATACCATCTCAGATTATACTCAGTGACATCTGAGGTGAAAAAAAAATTTCAGATGGTAGCTAGTATAATTTTCCGTGAAGTTGTACTGTTTAAAAATATTCATTGAAAAACATTAAAAAAATTTGCTCTATGCAAATTACATATCTATCGATATATACTGAGAAATTATGAAAAAAAAATTCAAATCTTATAACAGTGAATTTTTTCCAATGAATATTTTGAACAGGAGTTCTTCAAAATTATTTATTTAATTCAAGTAATTTTTTTTTTTGTGTATATGTAATTACACAGAATAAACAAACTTTTTGCGCCAAGAAAATTTTAAAGAAGACAAAAGTTATTTTGAAGCAAGAAGAAATTTTCTTGGCTCAAGAAACTTTGAATTCATTCAAGAAATTTTCAATCTTTCTTAATATTTTCTTGACCCAAGAAAATTTAAACTCTTTTTTTTTTTTTTTTTATTTATTGTTGACATTGATTTATCCTAACTGAAAATTATCCACAAAAAAACTTACTTTTAAAAATAGCATTCCGTTGATAAGGATCAAGATTATCCAACTGATTTTCGTCCATGCCGGTCAACTTCTGTAGTCCAGAAACAAGGTAGTTTTTGGTGCAATCCGGCATGGGTGACCCGTCACAATAACTAGCGACCTCTTTGCTGAATAATCGGTACAGATGACTCATCTGGAACAGATTGAAATAAATATAACTTTTAAATACGGGTTACATTAACCGTTAGATCGATATTTATAAATAGATATGTCGGTCACTGAATTTCATTTGTTATTTACTTTATTTATTTTTTTTTTTTACTTTGCTGTTGAATAATAAAGAGAGTACGCACAGTATCTGCAGTGAATTATTGTTTGTTAATTTAACTCACGTCCGGTGAAACTCGGCAATGTGTAACAAGACAATTTAAACATGCATGTCACACGTTGTTGATGGTGCGTAGCCGATTGCAATCGTATTTTATATTTACGATTGTTATTATGCTTTTGCTCAATCTTCATCAACAATAAAAATTTTTTAATCAATAAATTTTTTCGAGATAAATTTTTAAAACTTCCTGAAAATTTGTAAAAGCAATCTACGTAGCCTAATAATTAATAAAAAAATTTTAAGCAGGTTTTCGGGAGATTTAATCGAATAATTAGGTTTGAAAATTGTAATTTTTACATGTAAAATGGAGATTCCACCAGTCGTGTATTTGGTTAAGAATTTAATGCAATTAACGATTTAAAAAAAATTTTATTTTCATTGAATTTGATTGAAAAAATAATAAGCTAAAGATTAAAACAATAACAAAAGTAGTTTTCCGAACGTATTACGGAGATATTTTATATTTTTTATGAAAAATCACTCGGACACTTGCGTTCTTTAAAGTCTTGTATTTGACTTGGCAACACCGCTTGCGCAGTTACCCATGCGCATAAGTTACCGCGGTTTTTTAAATGCTAGATCTTAGTCATTTTAGTTAGACAGTAAACATAAATAAAATCTAAGGTTAGGGACACTCTTGCGGTGTTGTCAAGTGTATACCGGTAATTCAGAGTGCTATATTTTTTATCAGTCAATTAAATGTTAATAATTATTTAATGAGTAAATTTTTCGGAAATTTCCTCAAAAATGTTATTAATTTATTTAAAAATTAATTTTAAAATACCAAAAGTATTTTTACGTATTATTATAGACATTCTTTACACTAGGAGAATACTTGGATCTCTTTAAGATGAATTTAGTTGTTCTAGATTGTACGGAGAAAGTCCAAAGAAAAGTCGTGAGAAATTAATAAGAATCCTTTTATTATTTTATTGTTTAATATTTTTAAAATAAATTAATTAATAATTAAAAAATAAAATTCAACTAACTTTTTCATTTTTCGACAGATATTCCCACATTGGAATTGCCGATCCTCCGATTTGATTCGCCGAAAACGTCACTAAGACCAAAATAATAAAGTTTTTGCAATACATATTTTCCACTTTTAATAAATAATCACTAACAAAAAAAACAACAACCAACACTGACACAAATAAATAATTAAAAAAAAATAATAATAAATAATTATTTATTTGATAAAAGGATAAATATCATTTCTTCATTACAACAGTAGGATGTAAACTGAGCGGAGTTCGTTAGCAGCTTCGGTTTTATGTACCGATGACCCATGTAACATCCATCTCCCCTCTTAATTTCGTTTATATGTGTGTAAGGTATATTAAATATTTTTTTTATTTAATTTTATTTCATCGACCTACCTCGCGTCTGACGTCGTGTTTACGCATTTAGAATAAAATAAAACTATCTCTCATTCCACGATCTTTTCGTACATATTATACGGTTGTGTGTATTGTGTATATATCGGGTACCATCTTCCAGTTCTCTTCCTTCTTTTAATATATGGTGTGTATACCAGACCCGATACTAGGAGATATAAATACAAAGCATCAATTGCCGTGGAATACCACACCATGTAAATCCGGTACTAAATATATAATATAAATTTCTTGGTCCTTGACGTCATTCGAATTATTTACTTTTTTTTTTATTCATCATTTTTATTACGCTTTTTTTTTCCAGTTTTTGGGCTCGCCGGTATAACGTCATTGTGACAACCAGTAGCCCATTGAATTCCGTCAATTAATTTGATCATTTTTTGGGTTTTTATTTACGAACAGAAAAATTGTTTTTTTTTTTTTTGTATTCGAGGATAATAACCTTTGCTTAATTTCTATTTTATTTTCTGATACTAAAATAGAACAAAATTATCTTATAAAAAAAAAAATCAATTTTTAATAAATTTTTTTTTTTTTAATTTTTTTATAAAATTTTGCTTTATTAAATAATGGCTTTTGTTAAATTGCACTGTACTTTCTTAAATATTGACGTTTTTAAAAATATAAGCTCACCCCGATGTTACATTCGTCAAGAGCTTTCATTTGAGTACCCACATGCATTTTGATATATATTTATCATATATACATATAAGTAATATATATAAATATATAAAATATATGAAAAATTGATGTAGGTACTCAAATGAAAGGTCTCGATGAGTGTAATATCAGGATGAGCTTTTTTTTTTTTTTTTTTATTTTTTTTTTTTTTTTGTTTTTTTCCTAGCGTTATTTTGTCAGTGACACGTACTATTGTGTCAATTGTAATTTGTCGGTGAGTTTGGTAAAGATGGATTAATTGAATTAATTTTTTTTTTTTTTTTTTTTTTTTTTTTTTTTTTTTTTGGCGAGAGGAGGGAAATCTTCATAAGACATCGGCTAGATGTTGGAGATATTGATTGCCGGTAGTGTGAGATTCTTACTCACTAAAACCCTCCCCTCTCTTGTACCTGATACTGCGGGACCGCGTTAGCATTACTTCGCAGTACCAGGCCCCCTCCAAGCTACTCCTGTAGCTATTTCCTCCTGTAGCTATTTCCTCCTGTAGCTATTTCCTCCTGTAGCTATTTCCTCCTGTAGCTATTCCTCCTATATAGTCCTGTAACAGGACCCTCCGTTTTTGCGGCTGTGGCCGGCTTACAGTCTGTACCCGCATTTGCCTGTGCCCCGCTTATTTTAGGGGCACAATGACCGAGGAAAAACCACAGAAACCTGGTCAAGGTACAGTCGGCAAGGGAGCAAGCCCCGGAAATCGCAGAAGAAAAATTGCAATTGCCAGGGCTCGAACCCACGCCTGAGCGACTGCTGTGCGGCAGTTTAATAAGACTTAAACCGCTCGGCCAAGCAGTCGCCTATATCAGGATGAGCTTATATCTTTAAAAATGTCAATAGTTGACAAGATAGCAATGTCAGTTGTTAATTATTGACATTTTTAAAGATATAAACTCATCCCGATGTTATACTCATCAAGAGCTTTCATTTGAGTACTCACATGCATTTTGATATATATTTATCATATATACATATATATATAATATATATAAATATATAAAATATATGAAAAATCGATGTAGGTACTCAAATGAAAGGTCTCGATGAGTGTAACATCAGGATGAGCTTATATCTTTAAAAATGTCAATATTTCCCAAAATAGAAGGTCATTTCTTAATTATCTAATATATATGATATATATATATTTTAAAGATATAAGTTCATCCCGAAGTTACACTCATCAAGAGCTTTCATTTGAGTACCCACATGCTTTTTTGATATATTTTTCATATATACATATATATAATATATATAAATATATAAAATATATGAAAAATCGATGTAGGTACTCAAATGAAAGGTCTCGATGAGTGTAATGTCAGGGTGAGCTTATATATCTAAAAATGTCAATAGTTCACAAGATATAAAGTCTTTTTGAGATTTCTCAAAATCTACCGGTTTGAATCAGTCCAATTGGGACTTCCTGGTTTTTGAAAATATTTAATCTTCTTAGCGGGAAGTTAAAAAAAAGTTAATTAATTATTTTTTTTTCTTCAAAAAAAAAAGTCATTACTTTCTCGAAAAATTTCATAAATAATTAATAATCATCTCATTGAATATTTTCGACGACGACCTTGACAGACAACATTTATAACCTTGTTCCGCATTCCTATCAGCTCATTACACTCTTGTACTTACACAAAATTCTTGATGATTAAACGAAACAAAATATTTAACGTAGTTTATTCCTCGATATCAATAAATATTAATCCGAGATTTATGGCATTATTATACGACTTATCTCGAACAAAATAAACAAACTTTTCAGACGATCAAAAGGTGACAATAAAATCAATCTTTAAAATTTTACCAATTTAAAAATTTCTGTCAGGACTTACAAAAAATAATCGATTTTTTAAAAAGAATTTTTTGCAATAAATATTTTATTGTAACGGAGAATAAAATTCGAAATTTTTAAGCGTCTTATAATATTAGCATTTTTTATTTAGCAAAGACGTAAGCAAAATTTCTCAACATTCTTTTAAAACTATTAGTGAAATGTATATGTATATTAGGTAATTCTTATTGAGATTAGTAACTTGTTATGTAGTCGCTGGTCGTGGTCGCTCTTGAAAAAATTTTTAATCCAAAGCAAAATTACCGTTAACTCCTTGAGATAAATAAATACCAATACTCAATACTAAATATCTATCTCAGAACGTTATTATTTGTTTTTATAAATATTTATGCTATTATTCAAATTAAATTTTTTTTTTTCAAGCATTTTTTAGTCAAAAAAAATTTGCTATTATATAAAAATAAATATTATTTAATTAAGTAGGTCAATTTATTTATTTTCTTTTTTATTATAATAAAAAAATCAACATATTAATAGACATTATAAGTATTCATTTGAAGTTAATTAATTACCTTTTTATAAAAAAATTTTTTTATAAAAAAAATTTTGAACCATTGTTCGCGAATCCTTTTAAATAAAAATTATCAATCATAAAAACTTCAATAGTCTCTACGATTAAATTCCTATTATTTAAAACAGACTACTTGAATTAATTTTTTCTCCCAATTTTTTACACTTTAATTCCCCATTAGACTAATCACATTAATAAATTTTTTTTAATATTAAATTTAATCCAAAAAGTTTCTCTACATCCGGTGCTCAATCGTGGAAAACAATAATTAATTATTACCTCTTTAGGCGATGAAAAAAAGTTCCAAGTCATAGTATATTTATTAAGAAAAAAATATATTTATTACAATTGATGCGTAGAATTAACTGGTTTTGTAGCGACCTTAAACTAAAAAAAAACTCGGTTATAAAATAATTTATTAATGGTTTGAATATCAAGTTAATAAATAATATGATTTAGGAAAAAAAAAAATTTCACAATTGCTGAACAATATTCATACACCCCGGACGGGAATCGAACCCGATTTTGCACGAAGGGCTCTTCTAGCAAGCTGTTTGTGTTTCACAGTTTCAAAAAATCGATTTTTTTTGTCTTATTAAATTCTACAACATCTCTAGAATATTGTCTCTAAGTTTCAAATCGATCCGAATAATAGTTTTAAAAAGTTGCGCGCTCAAGGCGCTGTTGTATTGTCGCTCAAAACTTTAAACGCGTTTTTCTCAAAACTATGTTTTTAAAGACGGTTGTCAAGATTTCTCGAGAACTACTCAACCGATCTTGATGAAATTTTAGACAGGTCTTCGAGATATAATTTACAAGGTCTTGAACGAAGGATTTTTTTTTTCAATTACAACTATTTAAAAAAAAAAATCCCGCGAAATTTTAGCCAAATTTTTAATTTTTTTGTAAAAACCTCTGGCGAAAATCCAATTTTCATTTTTTTTTTTTCCTTCGTTCAAGACCTAGTTTGAAGTCTTAACTAAAGCACATATTTTTTTTTTTTCACTTCTGATGATCCTGCTAGGAGTTCTGCTGTCCACGCGGACGCATCTTTTTTCCGAGGGCTCGCCGGAAATTACGTCACATTAGCAGAGTTTTTAATATTTTTTTTTTAATTTCAGTAATCCCTTATTAAACATGTATCTTTAAGACAGTAAAAAGTTTGAATAAAATATTTCATTTTTTCTATTAAAAAAAAATTGTTGAAAATAGTCTATTTTTTCCATACTTGTGACGTTATTCAGGTAACTACACACTTTTTTTTTCATCATTAGGATCCCAATAAAAAAAAAAATTTTGTTATTGTTAAGAAAAATATATATGTCCAATGATTTTTCTTTTTATGAAGTTGGAATTCAGTAAAATATTTTGATAAATATTAATATTGGTTGTTTACAAAAGTGTGACCAGAAGACCTCGAAAAAATAAAAACACCCGCATATAAATAAAATTTTTATACTTTATTTTTATTTATTTAATTTATTAACATACCTATATGACTGTATAATGGTAATAATATTTATCCATTTATTTATTAAGTGTTAAAATTTTTACAATGCCGGAATATTAATAATTTAATGGCTTAAGCATGCTCATAAGTGACTATCAATGTCGAGTGTCAGATAACTTGGAAGGAAGTTCTTTAAAAATTGCCGT